AATTTAGAACCTAATTGAATTTGAAAGTCTAAATCTTTATTAACATCATAAATACCTTCTGCTTCTGCATCGTGAGATTGATGACGATGATAAAAACGGCAGAAACGCTTATTAGCATATTCGTATCCTAAACTTGGGTTGATGTCGTAAGTGCTTTTGGTTTGGATTGTATCAGGAAGGTCGGTTTGTTAGGCGGTTAGAGAATCGGGGTCAAAGCATAGGGTGGGGTACATGATACCCCTAAACCCTAAACCCTAAACCCTAAATATGAGGTCTGGGGTTAGCCCCTGCTTGCTAAAAGCCCTGGCCTGAGGCGGCAAAGTGCTGGCTCTCCGCCTCGCTGTGTTCCGCTCCTGAGCTCGAGCTCATTGGGACCCTTAGGGGGGGGAGGGGGGCCCTTCATACCAGTAATAAGGGCTTCATAAGGCCTATCTATACCAGTAATAATAAGGGCTTCAAGAGGCCTAATTAAGGAAGTATAATCTCCTACACCTACCCCACTATGAACTCTCGCGCGTCGTCACTAGCGATAAGTGCAGACTGTTGAGTCGACAGCAGTTCCTGTAATTGAAGCTGGACCAGTTAGCATCTGGGGCTGACTCACAACAGAATGTGGACTTAGGGCTTCGAGTTCGTAGGGTGTAGGGATCCCAAAAACTCAAGTCCACCCTAGTCGCATTCTGATCGGGCATGCTGTTTGTCTTTTCTTATGCTGACGATGCCTGCCCTCGTGCGGCTCGGATCATTTAAAGCGTTCACTTCCGCAGAAAATGCTGCAGCTGACTGCTGAACAACGCCAAGAAGGGCAACCCCAAGCCAGCTCCCGAACCGGAATCCCTGGCCCAAGTCCCAGGCCTAATATTATCTAACTTCCGGCTCATCAGATACTGTTGTCCAAGGCACTGCTCGGTCCAAGATCTCCAGTATTCGGTCGAAACCAACTCGAATTCGATGCCTCTCCTCTGCCTCCAGCAGCTTCTCTGTAATTGCCAACCGTTTTCTGGCAAATCGCTGGCCCCTGCAACAAGAACCCGACCCGAATCAGAATTTCGACAAAACAAGACGAGGGAGGCCTCCTGGAACTCCAGCCGGTCGTTGCGGTCGCTTCGGGGCAGACACGGCATCTGCCAGGCATGGACGATGCAGGCCTATATTTCCTAATGATATCCGTTATGTTCAACCAAAAGATGCATGAGTGGGGTTCTGAAGACATGGAGTTAAATACTCATTTAGAGAAAGGGGTCTTGGGGTGCCGCGCCTTTGCGGCCCTGGGAACTTGCTGGGTTTGCGGCGTCACGAACTCAAAAAGCCCACCCGGGAAGCCGACGGCACGCCACAGTCCCCATTTATCCATCGTGCAGCAATCTAACGTCCGTATAATATAGCTGTACACTTTCGCAACCCGTTTTCGTCTTCATATAACCTGGCAAGGGAACCCTAAACCCTGAACCCTGTATTCTTTACACAAACAAACGGACGGCCAGGCAGATCACGCTCGCGATGTGTCGATCTTTGACTCGCTCGCTGAGGGCCCGGCCAAGCTCCATTGGAAGTTCTTTGCCTGCCCACAGGCGGATAGCTTTTAGTGTTGAAGTGTATACCATTTAGTATGCTATACGGTATATGTACATACAGATTTATAGCCACCCACACGTGTGTGTACAGAATATACATACTCAGAGATACTGATTGACCTGCCATCTGCACACAGCTCACTGCCGATGCCTTCCCAAGCGGCACGGAAGTCCACACGACGTCCTGCCAAGACATGCCCAGTGTGGATTCAGGGTTTACGGTGCATGATTTGATGACTCGTAGAGTTTGTGCCAGCATGCCTTGCTTTGCGGAGCCTGAAATTTCATCCAAGGATGTTCCCGCTTTATATGTAAGTGTCTGCGTAAGCACATATGTATAATATATATATATATATATACAAACATAGATACACAGAATAGCTTGGTCGTGAACGACATTGAATAACGACTACATAGCCATGACAAGCGCAAAGGTGCCAATATACCGATTCGAAATTGAACTAACTTCTGCAGGGAATGTAATGTCGGCTCAATATTGCCAAAAGGAGCCCGTACACAGATCATATGAAATCAATAGCCACGCCCTCGAACCTTAATTCCTTGCGATCCAACCCAAGACACACAGACACACACACAGAGGACACGATGCACTAAGTCAGAGCAATAATGAGGACCGCCATCAGGAGTCATAAGCATAAAAGATCAGGAAGACTCGACCTGCTTGGCTACCAGCGCCAAGCTTTTTCTCGATTTTTGCATTTTCTCTTCACCACATTATCGTGTGGATACCTTGACCCTCCATGCTGACTTCACGTCGAACTGGACGCCCCAGCTCTGACAACCAGGAAACCAAGCCATCGCCGCTGTATTCAGTTGTCTTCCGGAAATCCACGGAATTGTCGAGGATATAGCCAAACCGACAGTGTCTCAAGACATCTTCAGCGTACGGTCGCTGCTGTGCTTCGCTAAGCTCTGACAAGGCGAAACAAGAAATGCAGAGGTCGTAATGGTGTTCTTCATGGGAACTTGTTGAATTCGTGAAGCGCGTCTTGCGGAGAAACTCAGGGAAATGTGAAAGGAAGCGGTACTGCAGCATACCAGCTTCCGGGAGATCGAAGATGGTGTATGACTCCAGCTGGGCTGACAGCAGATGCATTGCCAAGGCTTGACCGCCATAGCCACCTCCAATCCTGGTACATGAGGCAGCCCACACAACAAGTAACTAGGCAGCACGAATAGGAAACCAGGACACTCAACAGAAAACTGCACGTAATCAGTATCCCCGTCACTCTGCAATCCTCCATCCCATGAGACCCGCGGAGACATTCCAGCCGGGTGAGGTCACCAGGTGCGAAAGAATGTCGCCAAGAATGCCAACATATCTCGTCAGGGATTTCTCTGTGCAAGGATCACGGAACGTGGCGCGTAAGATATTTTCGGGATTCTCGGTATTCTCCTAGTTCTGGCCGTGGGTTCTCCGTACTGATCGTATTACCTTCTTGCGAAGTCCCCCGAGCCTCCAAGTAAAGCCCACTCCAAGGCAACAGGAAAGGGTGGTCTAAGCAGAGCATGGTAAGGGCTACGAGGTGTTGTCTGAGTTCGTGCTTGCACCGACTGCTGCAAATCGTTTACTATCACTGATTATGAACCCCCCATTGTCAAATCTCAACCAAACTCCTAAACAAGAGCCCAGTTCTTTGAGGAACCTGTGCCTCATGGTACTTGGGCTCATGAAGCCGATATGACGCTGGAAGTCTTCCATCACTGCATTGCCAAGGAGATCCTGATGCCGCTACTCTCTGCGGCCGACAGCTACAGGAAAGAAAATGAACGCCTCTCTTCCCACACAGAAAGTAGCAGAAGTCTACTCGAGGATCCCAGGCTCGGCAACTCTCCATCTCGGGAGGTGTCTGTAGATAGGGAAACTTTGCCTATACAAGCGCGCAAGATACAGGTCTCCGGAAGACTTCGGGGTATGCTCCCATGCTTGGTTCAGCACCATGTCACTGCGCCGGAACCGGGAGAAGGCAGTAGGTGTCTCTGCAGAGCGAGCGCAGGCAGCGCGGTAGGTGAAAGCCCAAGGGTGTTCAGGTGACCATTGAATGTCATAAGACGAGAACTGCTCTTTGCCTCTTATGTTCGAAGCCAGAGATGGTGGGAACCTGCAAGGCTTTCGCAGTAGTTCCCCCGCTTCTTTGTCGCATGGGTTCCTGGTGCACTGACATTTCGATGAAACCTAGGGTTGAGTTTTCTTTTAATTCTGCACGTTCAAAGCTTTGTATCTATCAGGTCTGCTAGTAGCAGGATGTTGGCTGATACTAGACTCAGAGGAATGACGCACGAGTCTGACGTTCACGCGAAACCCGAATCATGTGCTTCAATCTTTACGCCTGCGCCGATGGGTATATCGGGCTGCAGTTCTACAGGTTGTGTATTGATAACGATGCTCGTTAAAGAAACCAAAGAGAACGACTGACTTCTTCAAGAGGGTCTAGGCTTGCATTGTAAGATGCCGTCGGCCGTCTAGCATAGGTCAGGAAAGCTCGTATCAAGGATCCGACACGCATCGAGTGTCTTCACAGGTCTCGGCACACTTCGAATAACAGCTTGTAATTGCTAAAGGAAGTATCCACTCCAGTCTGAACAAGTAGGCAAAAGATGTCGCACCCGCCGACAGACAAGACGGTTTGCGGGGAAAGCACAGCACAGCAACAGCACAGAATAAAGGCTGGAACGTAGCAACTACCCACGCACACCCCGAAAGCATTGGTCACATAGCAGCAAGGCAACGCTGGCCAAGCAGGCTCTGACGAGAAGGCCACTGATTTTCGCACAGCTGCAGCCACAATCGCATGAAGCTTCCGACACCTCAAGGGTTCGGGGTTGAGAGGCTAAGGTTCAGGCTTCAAACGTGCAGCACAAGAAAACCTGCGACTCATGGTCCTGGTAGTGATATCACCCACCAGTGCTTGAGTTAAACTCAGCTACATGTCCTTGCCCTTGTCGACCTCGTCAAAAGAGTCGGCGCGGTCGGTTCGATCACCTTGTCAGCTTCTGGCAGTTATATTGGGGGCAGGAAAGAGCTCCAGAAAGGCCCAAAACGCGAACGCTGCATGCAAGTGCTGCATCGCAACTTCCGGCGCCTTGCTGTTCGCACAACGACGGAGATTGGCATCCCAGGACAGGCCAGGTTCGCAGCCGCAAGCATCCCGGAAGGTGGCGCCCAAGCAACAGCCTTATCTGAGGAATAACTGGAGCGAGGGTTTTTAGGGCTTCCGCTTTGTTTTGGTTGCCTCTGGGAAGGCTCTAATCCAGGCCTTACAAGATGTGTAGATTGCAGGAAATACAAAAAAAGTTGGTGATTATCGGTGAAGATGCAACAACTTGGGATCCCGGCATGGGCAAGTGTTTAGGCTTCGCTTGAAAATCAGGGCGCGGCGGTGCTCGCGCAACCCCGGGAGCGGAACGGAACGCGAACGAGAAGGGAACGCAACAACGATTCTCAGAAAAGGAGGCCAGGCAGATGTCCAGTTTACTGAAACCACCTGATTTTTAACAGGTCGGGAAAATTCATCGGCAGGTGGTGGCGTGCATGGGGAACGGCAACAACCGAAAAAAATGCAGCTCGGCAGCCAGCACGGGCCTCCGGTGTTGTTTTCACCCGTTTTGCACGTTACCTGCAAACTTCCTCAATGATTTTTGACGGTTCCGTAAAAATCATTTGTGAGTGTCTGGATGCATGGTGAAGAGCAACAAACCAAACTTCACCGACTTCGACAGCCCGTACGGGCTTGGGGCGCGACTTGCCCTTCCCCTTGCCTGGAAATCTCCTCAACGATTTTTGGTGGCTCCGTAACATTCGTTAGTGAATGTTCGGCTGCATGGTGAAACGCACAAAACAAAATTTCACGAACTTCGGCAGGCAGCACGGGCTTGGGATGTGAATTGCCCTGCCTTGAAATCTCCCCAATAATTTTTGACGGTGCCGGAAAAATATTCGGTGACTGCTGGGATGCATGGTGAAGGGCAAGACCGAAAGTTCCCAAAGATCAGCAGACAGCACCGGCTAGGGGTGTGACTTGCACCATGCCTGGAAATCTGCCCAATGATTTTGGCGGGTCCGGAAAATGGTTTGGTGGCCCCTTGCCTGGAAATCTCCTCAATGATTTTTGGCGTCTCCGTAAAATTCATTAGTGAGTGTTCGGTTGCATCCCCAATTTCCCGAGTGCTTCGTTTTGAGCTCCGCAACACGACCTCCGAATCTGGGTTTGTTGCTTGTCTGAGCATCCTTGCAATGCCAGAATGAGTCAAAAGTCGCCAGGGAGAGCCTGCATGAGCTCGCGGACGAGTTGCTCAACGGTTGTGATTGGAGGCCGCTTTTTTCGTAAATGTTTTTTCCCACTGAAACCTTTTCACAAAATCCAAGGGGGAGGCTGCATTAGCTGGCGTGCGAGTTGCTCCACGGTTGTTTTTGGAGGCTGGGTTTTCACAAACAATTCTTCCTGCGTTGGCCGCTGAAACATGTTCACAAGATCCAGGGGACAGCCTGCATCATGCAGCTCGCGGGCGAGTTGCTCCAGGCCGTGGTTTCGCAGGTGATTTTTCCACGTCTGTAAAAAAATCATTGGCTGCTGTCCGGGCAATCGCATCGCGCCTTCACATCAAAAAATGGAACAGAACCGGACAGAACCAACCGAAAAAATACGCTTTTTCCACACCAAGTTCGTGAATGCTTCGTTTGGAAATCCCCTGCAGCTTCGGGGAGGATTCACAAGGTCCAGGGGAGAGCCTGCATTGCGCTCGCGGGAAAGTTCCCCCACTTTTCACCGGCGAAAGCCGAGTTGTACTTGGAGCCTCGGGTTGCGCAAATGACTTTTCCACTGTCTAAAAATCATTGGCCCATTCCCGGGCAATTGCGTTGCACCTGCGTATGGTAGAACGGAGCGGACGCTAACACCCCGTTTTGCTGACAGTCTCTAGTTCCTTTCGAGAGGCTTGCTCCGTGTTTTCTCTTTCGAGTCTCTTTGGAAATTTTCTAGGCTCTTTCGAGCGGTTTGCTCCTTCTTCTGAGATCCTCTAGTTCCTTTCGAGCGGTTTGCTCCTTCCTTTCAAATTCTCTGATCTCTTTCTAAACCCCCCTAGTATTTTTAAGGCGGTTTGCTCCTTCTTCTGAAATTCTCTAGTTCCTTCCGAGCGGCTTGCTCCTTGTTTTCAAATTCTCTA